TCACCCCCGCCCCCCCCCCGCCCCCGGAAGCGCTTGCCTGAGCGGCGGTTGGCCGCCAGCCGTCCGTCTGAGCCCCCGGCCCAGTCCCCCCGCAGGGAGCGAGGCCAGGCGGCAGAGGCGAGCCTGCTGTTGCCGCCACCCTGCAGCTCCTCTGGGGCGGGGAAGCTGCCGGGTGTTTGAGGGGCTCCTTCGGGAAGCAGACAGGCCAGTCTAAAAAAGAAACAGTTCCGGTCAAGGGAAGGGTTCCCAGACGTAAACGTGTATGTTGGTCCAGCCTTTCCAAGAGCGGTTCGGTGTTGCTTACCCAAAGCCTCGGAAACCTGTGTGCACGTTCGGCCCAGCGGTCCCGTCTTTCGGCTTCCGGGAAGGTCGCAGGTGGAGTCACCACGCAGCGGTTCCCGACCGTGAAATCCCCAAGTGGTCAGTGGCACGGGACAGCAGTCTATGGGTAGCAATGTCTTTGAAGACTTATAAAATATCAGCCCTGGCTGGCGTAGCTCAGGGGATTGAGCTCGGGCTGTGAACCAAAGTGTCGCAGGTTCGATTCCCAGTCAGGGCACATGCCTGGGTTGCAGGCCACGGTCCCCAGTAACCGCACACTGATGTTTCCCTCTCTCTCTCTTTCTCCCTCCCTCTCCTCTCTAAAAATAAATAAATAAAATCTTTTAAGAAAATAAAATAAAAATAAACCTGAAACATGTTTTTAAAAAAAGAGTTATAAAATATTGACATACACACAGAGACAGAATTTCCATCAAGAATAAGACAGACAACATTCTAAGATGTTAACAGAAGTTATTTCTAGATAGTGATATTTTTGAGGGTTTAATTTGCTTCTTTGTGTATTTCAACGTTTCCTCTGTTTTCTACACGAAAAATCATATTTTTGTGATTGGAAAGGAAGGAACTTCACCTTAGGAAATGTCCCCACCGGGCCTGGTAGCCCAGGTGGAGCGTGGCCCTGATACGCCGAGGTCGAGGGTTCCCTCCCTGGTCGGGGCACAGGCAGGAACCAGCCAGGGAGCGGGTGCACGGCTGGGCAGGGCGGCCGATCCCTGCTACTCCCCCACTCCCCACCCCTAAAATCAATACATAAGGTAAATCGTTGCAGATGTTCCCGGACAGCTGTGGTGTCCCACAGAAATGCAGTGCGAACCACACAGGCGCTTTACCCCATTAGGGAAGGTAAAAGAAATAGATAAAACTGTGTATTTTAATCATGCAGAACATCCGAAATGTTACTACTATTTTAACATGGAATCAAGGTGGGAAATTAAAAGATATTTCCATTTGCTGTTCATGCTGAGCCTTTGCAGTCCTGCCTGTGTTTCTGACGCACCTCAGTTCGGGCCGGCCACGTCCCCACTGCTCGCCGGCGCGGGTGGGCGGCTCGGGCCGGGCAGCGCCACGGGGACAGGCCTGTGAGCGGAGGCTTCCACTGTGTGTGAGCGAGGCTGAGGGCGTTCGGCTCCCTCTAATTGAGCAGGCACGCAGCAGGCACATCCCTGCCCCTAGGTTTAATTACTGTTTTCCGAAAAAGCATCCCAGGGAGTACCAGAAACGCTGGGTCCTCAGGGGTCAGCTCGGACCTGTTTCCAGGGCCAGCGCGTCCTGGGGAGTGGGCTGGTGGTCCCCTCTCACCGCCACCCCGCGTCCGGTGAGCCCCCTTCTCCTGCTCGTAGAGCTCACCTGCCTCCTGGCGCGACAGCGTGGCCCCTGCGACGGCCCTGCCCGCCTGCATGCACCCCGTCCCGTGCAGCCGCACCGGACCTGGAGCCAGGGCGCTGGCCTGGCGGCGAGGCGTTCCGGGCCCGTCGAGGGTTCCCTGCGTCTCGCAGGGTGACATCCCGGCTGAGCTGGCCGCAGCCTGGTGAGGCCCACTCCTCTCACCGGTGGGAATGCTTCCCCAGCCCCTGACCTGGTGGGGACCCCCGGGCCGGCAGTCAGTCTGCGTCTGCTCCCATAACCGAGGTGGCGGCCTGCGGAGCCGCCCCGTGTTGGTTCACTGCCGTTCTGGTTTCCCCGCCAGCCAGCCCTCCTCCTGCTTGAGGCAGGCCCTCCCTGCAGCTGCGGGCAGATGGCCCTCCCGGGGCGGGGCCGGGCGGGGAGCAAGTGCCCCTGGAGCAGGCATCTGTCCCTGAAAATGGCACGAGGGGGCCGGGTGGGGGGCCGGCAGGGGGCTGCACCCGGAGGCCATCGGCTAGTTCGGAGCTTGGATGACCATCTGTCTGCAGGCCGTCCTCCGTTCTTGCTTTCCATTGGTCCTCTGAGCGAGCGGGCGCCTCCCTCCAGGGTCAGACGCTGAGAGGGGCCGTCTGCCTTTGCTGCTGGACTCCCCGACTTAAAGAAGTGTGTCCTGTTTACATTCCTGCTCGTTTCTTTGATTTGGACGGTGGCCAGAGACAAACAACTTGCCTCGTGGGTTAGAAACCGAAACGGGCCTTTCTGAGCACACAGGCCGCTGTCTCGTGCGGGACGTGCAGACCGTCAGCCTCCCTCGGCGTGGCTCCCTCGGCCCACAGAGGGAGAGGCCCGGCGGCCAGCACCGCACGCCTGTCTCAGGGTCAGACTCCGTTGTGGGACGAGCTCACCGAGGCCCGGCCGGTCGAAGGAGGTTTGGTTTGACTGGGGGCTAAACTAACAAAATGTGTTTTGAAATGTGATAACAGGATTTGCAATTTTTGGTCTTCATCCAGCAAATCCGAAAACCCCCCAATCCACGCCCGCAGCAGACAGGGAATCTATTCTTCGACTAGAAGTTCAAATTGCTGGATTTATAAATTGTCTTAAGATGTGTTCTTTGAACAGTTTAAAGTGTTACATAGTATTAAGATGAAGTCATCAAACTGCTTACGCCTTTAACTGTGTATATTTGGGTGACTGGATAAAATGTATCGTTACTGAGAAAATAGTAACACTTAGCACCAAGAAAGACAGTTTGCCTGATAGCCATTAACAAGACCTGAGAGCCCATTGTCTTCTGCCTTATATATTTTTTTCCTTTTGAGTGTATATGGATCTTAGGGGGTTTTTTGTGTGCGTGTTTTAGGAAATTGGTCTTTGTAGGGAAACGATAGGGGTGAGGTGTCTTTTACCGCTGTGCCGCCTGTGGGAGTGGCGCTGGGTGGAGGTGGAGGTGGTGTGGCCATCAGCCGCGCACGCACAGGTAGGGAAAAGTAGCACTCCAGCGTAGCACTCCAGTGTAGCACTCCAATGTAGCACACACGCGTAGGGAAGTGTAGCACTCCAGTGTAGCACACACACGTAGGGAAGTGTAGCACTCCAGTGTAGCGCTCCCGCAGACAGACCCCCAGCTGTCTCCGAGGGACGAGCGGACTCACATTTCCAGCAGATGTCCCAAAGCGGAAAACGCCCCTGGTCGGTTTGGGGATTCAGAGCAAAGTTGCTGCTGGTGGTTTTGACGAGGACAATTTAAAAGGACAAAAGAGAGACATCTTTTTTCCTGTTGCCTTTTTCCTCCAAATAAGGTGGCTACGGTACAGAAAACGAACTGTAGCGAACTGGTGTGATTCAGTGTTCGTGGACAACTTTCCCGGTTTCCCTGCCTTTTATAAAGAGGATTACTTCGTGTCTGGGTGCAGTTCGTCTGGACCGGTTCCAGCCGGCCTGGGTGGCAGCGTGCGGTAGGGAGACCGACCGCCTTCCTCGGATGGCCCCTGTTTTGTTTTTTTTTCCAGCCAGACCGGCGCTCGCCCCGTAATTAGGGGAGGCCTGGTCTGCGCGGGGCTGAAAGCAGCCTGGGCCACGGGCTGGTCAGGCCTCTGGGTCGGCTCCTGTCCCGGCCTTCCTCTCCAACACACACAAGTGAGTGTCCCGGCGGGGCAGGGGCTCGGTCTGTGTGTGCGGGGCTGTGCCCTCGCGAAACTGGGCCATGTGACGGGCCAGCGTGCGGTGTGGGCGGGTGGTCACCTGGCTGCCGTGGCGGGGGGGGGTGCACTGGCGTTCTGACCTGGCTCCCATCGCCGGGGGGGGGGCGGGCCTCCCTTGGGTGTGCCCAAGGGGCAGGGGTGCGTTGGCTGGAACCCCACCGGAGAAGCGCCTTCTCCCTTCTCTGTGCTCGCCCACCTTTTCTCGTGCGGGGTGCGGGTCCTGTGGAGCATCTTTCTGGGTTCCTAAGCCTGTTAGACACGGTCCTTCTGGGCCGGTGGGGGTTGGTGGCGATGCCCTCAGAAAAAGTGGGGAGTGGGAGGGACCCAGGGGCGGAGTGGGGTGGGGCGGCTAGGAAGGAGAGCTCAGGTTTGATTTGTCCCCCCCTGCTCCCACTCGGGGCAGGTCCTCGCCCGCCGGGGCCGCCCGTGGGAGGTCACCCGCCCTCGGAAGTGCAGGCAGAGAGCCGCCCCCGGCCAGGGCTCTCCCAGCGCTTCCCTGCCAATCCATCCGCAGGGCTGGGCTCGTCACCGTGGCCTGCGTCCGCGGGGTCAGAAAACTCGCGCTGTGTCCCCAACAGTGAGGGAACAAGCAAAATAGGGAAGAGTCGTTTCTCTTCGTCACAGGCGGCGGGGCGTGGAGTCCAGACCGGGGTCCCACCCCTGACTGGAGCCCCCTGCCCGTGTCCTCGCACTTGCTTCGGGCTGGAGCCCGCGGCTGTGTCCTTCGGGGGGCGGGGGTGCTGGCAGATTTCAGGGCTGGTGACAGCGGTGGGGCTGGTGGCGGTTGTTCAGGTCACTGTCACCCATGGCCTCAGTCTGTTCTCCGGGGCTGGCTTTGCCAGATTTGTTGCTGCCCCCTTCCCATTCAGCGTGTCCCTCCCAGGAGCTCTGCAGACGTGTAGCGGCAAAGGGCACGGGGCCCGGGCCTGTCCCTGGGGGTGAGGCACACATGCCCCGGCTAGACACACCGAGACAGGCCTCAGTGGCACTCGGGGCGGGCGGACGGCCCGAGAGCCCTGCCGTCTGCCACCAGGCGCCCAGGTCGGGGCTCCCCGCCACGGCCTGGCCTCCCGAGCACAAGTCAGCCCTTTCCTTCCTGTCCTCTCCTAGGGCTCGAAGGTCCTGGTGGATGCGCGGGACAAGCTGGGGATCCGGTGGCAGCACCCCGAGAACGAGAAGCACGGCATGTTCCTCATGGCCTTCGAGAACAAGGCCGGGCTGCCCGTGGAGCCCGCCACCTTCCAGCTGTACGTGCCCGCGCTGAGCGCACTCTGGGGCGACTCCGGCATCAGGGAGGCCTACAGCCGCCGGAGCGAGTTCCAGCTGGTGAGTGGGCCCTCCTGGCCACGGGCTGCTCCGCAGGCCGGTCTGGGCCATGGGTGGGTGTCCTTGGAGATTCTGTGAAAGCACAGGCAAGCCGGAAGTTACTCTGTGTCCTAAAATTCAGCAACAGAAGCACATCATGAAGCAGACCAAGCTGCCTAGATGGTGGGGTGGGGGGGGGCGGATAACATTAACTCGCTCAGGCTCGGCCAGCCGTTGCTCACGGCCCCGGAGGGCCCAGCGTGCTGAGGGTCCGAGTGAGGGCGGGAGCGGGGGTGGTTTCGGTCTCATCCGTGGCAGGACACCAGTGCCCTCAGGACAGCGTCCGGGCCGGCAGGCTGGGCCCCCGCTCGGCAGGGCTCGGCTGGTTCCGGGTGGGCACCTTGGGAGCCCACCCTGGTCTGGGGGTGACTGGGCGGGTCTATGTGCAGGCCCATCTGTCCCCGGGTCCCGCTGCCCCGCTGCCCCCTCAGGCCCGGCGCTCAGAGCGCAGCCCGGCGGGGGGTGGGGACGGGCGGGAACAGGGTCCCAGGGCCTCCTCCCCCCACCCCGGGGAGGCTCGGCTGGTGCCGCATCACAGAGAAGCCGCCAGCAGCCACTGCTTCAGTCCCTCTGGGACCTTCTGCTGCACTGAGGGGGCCGTGGGGGTCCCTAGGGTGGAGCCCCTGGGAGTTGTCTAGGGGCTCGTGACTCTCCTTTGTTGAGTAGGGAGACACAGTAGCACGAGATCGGTATTCAGTGACCTATTACTACCTGTGGCCCCGGAGACCCCGCGCCACTGTGCGTCTTTCATTTATGGAGCCATCCTTCCAGCAGATGCTCGTGGGGCAGACACCACGTGTGGGGCAGACACCACGTGTGGGGCAGACACCACGTGTCGGCACTTCAAATCCCGGGAAAAACAGCAAACAAACGAAAGACAAATCTGCGTCCATATGGAGCGGGAGACAGACAGTGAATAAGTGAGCGGGGGGTGTGTGCATGTGTGCACACGTGTGTGCGTGTTTGCCTGTGCGTGCGAGAGGAAAAGAAAGCAGGGGGCCGGGAGAGGGCCTGTGGGCGGAGGGGAGCCTGGGCGGGGGTGGGGGGGTGGCGGAGGGTTCTGGAGCGGACTCTTGGTCCCCCCCACCCCCATTTCTTCCCCTTCTCGCGGGGCAGCTGCGGTGCGAGTTCGGCCCCAGAGCCAGGCGACCGAAGCGATGTAAAGCCGTGTAGGCTGATGCTTTTGCAGGTTGCTCTTGGCGTCCTTTGCTTCTGTTTTCCTGTCGGGAACACGTTTCTCTTAATGCGTAACACCTTTTAAAAACAAAAAACCTTTCCTTTTGAAACAGTTGCAGATTCACAGGGAATTGACACGGCAGTGCAGGGAGGTCCCTGGCGCCCTTGGCCCGGTCCCCCCGCCCCCCAGTGGCGACGTCTCCCGGGACTGCAGGGGCACCGCAGACCGCGGCGTTGACCTCGGTGCCGTGCGCATGCGCGGGTCTGTGTCTGTGTCGTCGTCGTCGTCGCCGCCGCCCGTGCGTCTGCGTGCGTCCCGACGCAAGGGCGTCCCGACGCAGGGGTGTCCCCGCCTCGGAGACCTCCCCCGCCAGCCCGCACCCCTGCCCGCCGCTGGTGTTTCCCCATCGCTAGAATTTTCTCCCTTGGGGAAGGTCGTCCAAACAGGGCCGTGGGGTCGGTGACGCGTCGAGGTCGGCGTTCGTCGCTCACCGTAGTCCCGTGAGGTCCGCGCGCACGCGTGCGGACGCCGCTGGCGTCGGTGCGTCCCCGAGGGATGTTTCGGGGTGCGGAGGTGGCCCAGTTGCTCGCCCCCCCACACGTCTGCGGTTAAATACACACACCTGTGCGCGTGCGTGTGCGCACACATACACGCAGGACGCGTCGTGTCTACGTAGAGGACGGGTCGGGAGTGCCGGGAGCCCGTGAGTGATTTCCGGATAAGGGGAGGGTCTGTTCCAGACACTGGAGGGTCGCACGCTGCTCTCCTAGTTTGGGTTTGGACGGTGCGGGGGCGGTTTTCAACTTTCAAACGGAACCGGCTTCACCGTGCGACACCCAGCGGAAAGCCCGCCTTCCTCGGGCCGGGCCGCCGGGAAGGTGGGAGGGGCCTGAGCAACCCTCTGACCAGCCCCCCCCCCCCGCCCCCCTTTGGACAACGAGACCGTCTGCCGGAAGCCACGAAGCCCTAGGGCGGCCCGGCCGAGATGAGAACGGGAAACTCGCTGGGCTGGGCTGGGCTGGGGCCCGGCTGGCCCGGGGCTGGCCCGCTCAGTCCCCCTCGGGGCGGCTCGCGCCCGAGGGCACGGGAGCAGGAAGCAGCGGTGTCTGCTGTTCTCGGTCACGCACCGCAGGGCGGCTTACGTGCTCTGGCTCACGGTCTCGGCCTTTCCCCCGGGCCCCGTCACTCGCGAGCACGTCACACCCCTGCCGACCTCAGAAACCTGCCCCTTGAGGGGACGCGAGTGCGGCGCTCGCAGCACGGGTCCGCGAGGGGAACGCCGCCGCGGAGCTTTACGTCTGGGGCTCTGCCCGCCGGCGACATGATGGCCCAGGGTGGAAACGGGGTGCGTGCTGTAGTAGAGTTAATCATGGAACATTTTACGTGATACCAAAGCCAGAAAAGCTAAAGGAAAAGAATAATGGGTTTTACTGAGTAAACATTTCTAGCTTTTGTCTGGCAAAAGTCAGCATTTAAAAAAAAATGAAAACGGCAAATGACAAATGAGGGGAAAAAATCCAGAACCTCGAACAAAGCCGTTTTTCACGCGTCGAGGGGACGCAGTCCCGGCTGCCGGAGAGTGCTTCCGGGTCGGCGAGGGAGGCCTCGTCCCGGCTGGAAGCTGCGCGGAGAGGAGCCAGGGTCGCGCCCGCCTGCCGACCGCGGGAGAGCCCGGCGCAGCAGTGACGGGGCAGCTCTGGGCCACTCAGGGTGGGGGCGACTGTGGGGATGACTGTCCTGCACTGGCTGCAGCCCCGGGGACAGGAACCCTCGTGCATGGTGGCAGGAAGGTGAAGCGACGGAGTTTCCCAGTGCAGATCGTGACTGTAAGGGTTCCAGCTTCGGATTACATCCGGCCGACTGCCCAGAGACTTGTGCAGAAAACAGGGTTAAGAGCCAGATAAAACGCCGCCAGCTCCGTCGTGAGAGCCTCTAAGACCTGATGGGGAGATAGAGGGCCAGCCCCAGGCCTGACCCAGGGACAGGCGGGTGGGGCCTCGGGAACTCGGCTGTTCTGGGACGGTCACGGTCAGGGAGCTGAACCACCAACCTCAGCTGCGGTTTTTGGCAGGTTCTTCAGGGTCTGGAGGGGAGGTGGAAATTTCAGGTGGCAAAAGCAAACCCCCAGCAGGGGACAGAAAGCAGTGCCACCTGCCGGCTGGCTCCCCTGGGGACGTGGGCCCGGACCCAGTGCTGAGAACCCAGTTGGGAGTGACCCCGACAGGCCGCGTGCCTCGGTGCCTGGTCGAAGCTGCAGAGAACCTCTGGAAAAGGCTCGGGGACCCCCACAAACAGCGTTTCTGAGGGCGAGCATCGCAGAGGAGGCCCGAGTCACAAAGAGACCAGGCCCGTGCCCGGGGTCAGAAGGAACTGCAGACGGCAGAGCCAGGGCCGCAGTCTCCAGACACTGGGCTTGCCAGACAGGTCATCAGGTCGTTCTTCATCGGTTCGGAGAGGTGAACGTTAGACAACGTCCTCGGGAAAAGCTGAGCACTATCTAGAACAACAGTGATAGATTTCGAACGAACAATCTAGAACTCCTGGAATTAAAAAATACCTCCGGAAGGAAGTGTTAAGGCCCGCAGGGGCGGGGGAGGGGGGGCGAGGAGGAGGGGAAGAAAGGAGAGGCGGGGAGGCGCGGCGGGCAGAGTGAGAAACGTCACGCACGCGCAGGCAGCAGGTGCAGAAGGACAACGGGGCGGAGGCTGGACCTGCAGAGATGACGGCTGACAACAGGTAACCGGCTGCGTTGATAAGAAAGAACCTCCGACTGAGACGTGCGCAGAAACCACAGAAGACCAAAGACAGATCTTGAGAGCAGCTACAGAAAAAGAGACAAACTCTGAGGGAGTAACACTTCGGCAGCTTTCCTCCTGAGGCTGCAGCGGACGCCAGAAGGAGCGGGCGCTGGTGGTGGCGCCCGAGCGAGAGGATTTGGAACCCCGGAACGCTGAGGGCCGTGTGGGGCGTCTCCGGGCAGAGAGCGAGCTGGACAGCGGCAGCGCCTTGTTCAGCGGGGGGAGTGCTTCCAGGAGGAGGGTCCACAACAAGAAGAGCGAAGGCCGACTCATCACTCGGGCATGTGGTGCCAAGTCAGAGGACTCTTCGCCACGTTCACGGTCAGGAGTGCCGACTGTGCTTTCTCCCCGTGTTCGGACGGTTCTCCTGCAGTCGGGTGGGTCCACCCTGAGTTAATTTGGGGTGTGGAGCGAGGCTGGGACCCGGCCTCCTCCTGCCTGTGGACACGCGGCCGTCCCGGCCCCACTCATGGGCCGTCGGTGCTTCCCCACTGAGAGGTCTTGGACTCCTGACGGAAATCAGTTGGTTGTGCGTGTTTGGGTTTGTTCCTGGGCTCTCCCTTCTACTTGATTGCTCTGTGTGGCCACCCCTGTGCCTGGGACACACTGTTCTGATCACCGTAGCTCTGCAGTGAGTTTGGAAAGCAGGAAGTGTGGCCCTGCTGCGCACACTGCGTGTCCGTGGCCCGCGGCGTGGCTTTGATTTGCGCTCCCCCGAGGACGCGGGACGCCAGGCTGCTTCTGAAGAGGGACAGAGCAGGAGGGGCATCTCTCCGCCGGGTCAGCACACTGGCCTGCAGGCTGACGCCCACGTGGCCGGGCTGGCCTGGACCCCTCGCTGAGGCCAGTTTTCGTGTTTTTAAAGGCTTAGAAAAAAGAGGAATGTGTGATAAAGACTCTGTGTCTGGGCCACAAAGCCTGAAATATTCACCACCTGGACCTTTGCAGAGCGTGTGCTAACCCCTCGTCTGATAAATCGGGTGCTG